CCCTCCCTAACTGCGGGTTGGGCTGCGAGAATCACTTGAGAAACTACAATGCTGCCTCACTGTGTGCCAAATAAAGTACTTTTTCACCTTGACTTGTATTGTTTTCGATGCAGTGTCGACGAAGGTCTCATTTGCTGTGCATACTCAACATTAGAAATAGAAAAGAGCCTAGAAAATGGTTCAAAATCGCTTTTCCCCAGCAAACTTTTCACCCATTTTTTGACCTTCCCAGAAATGCATAGCAAAAACGAAACCCATTTTTGTGATCCTTATATGGACCCCTACAACATGCAACAAACCATTTCTGAAAAGCGCGCCACGACCTGAAAGACCTCCCTTGTTAGAGGGGTATATTCCTTCCACGAACCTCCTTTCACAGAACGGCAAGTGCGAGCCAAGTTGTACGGCCAGGCTCTGTACAAAACATACTGCAGTTCCAACCAAGCTTGCGTGACAGAAAATAATGCGGAGAATTTTCGGGCCAGCGCGAGATCGTCATCTTTCGAGGGGATAACGTAATTCTACACACGATATAGCCTGAATCTACTACAAAGCATTAGATACTAGAAGACTTCCTCCTTTGAGTAAGTGCCAAAGCTTTGCTGTAGCTCGACTGCAACGAAAACTCGCCCGTCGCGGAAAATCACGAAAATAACGCGGAGAATATTCAGCGAACGAGTTTTTCACCTTTCAAAGACCGTCACTCCGCTACGACATAATGCAGGAGGGAGATCTACCAAAGCATTGAAAATGAGATGGCTTTTTCTGAACAAAACAGCTCAGCTGTAGCTTGACCAGCAAAAATTCGCCTCGCCGCGAATTTCCAATTGAAAGTCGTTTTCAGCTGTTACATGAGAATTCCTCTCTACGGAGCCCTTCTATTCTATTCAAAAGCACGGCAGGCTGCTTTACTTCTCCTCCTAATGAATGCAGTACAGAGGAGCTGATCAAAATCTTCATGGGATGCGCTGTCTATTCAACCTCCTCTCTGACCACCCATCCTGCAAACGGTGTTCCTTACTGGTCACTGCAGATACAACACTCTGCTCAGAAGGAGGAGGCCGACCAGGACCCTGTGCCGCGGATACCGCGACATGTGCCTAACCCTGCAGTGCACTTATCCACTGTCACTTTGGAAGCTCGTGCTAAGGCAATGAAGTGTGTATCCGATCCAATACACACACATCACACACACCACACACACACTGCGATATATATACAGCTGAGCTACTCTCTGTGCCTGCTCGAGTGCGTGCATGCATGCATGCACGGGTAGACTTTTTACGGTTCCGTGAGGTTTCCTTCACTTTTTTTTTGCTCATTTCTACTTTTGAACATTCGATGATCAATGGTATGAAACGACCATGTTCAAAGGGGAAGACCGGAGAAATCCACAATATAGCCCAAAACTTCCTAGCTATGCAACCATGTATGATGATTTATTTTTGCAAGCTGATTAGCCTTTTCCATGATTCACGAATATCAGGCATATAAGAAGTCTCTGGAGGTACACGGAAGAGAGAAGCGTATCAGAGGACTCGAAAAGTACAACAACGAGCAAATGTTTTTCATTGGATTTGCTACGGTAATTCATATTGGTAAGACCTTGGTTGGATGTTTCACAGCGTTCTGGTTTTAGATGTGGTGCGGCCATTATACGCAAAATGGACTTATAACCCAGATTCTCACCGACGTTCATACTCCAAATCGATATAGGTGAGCATGGTAGATTGTTCAGCTATTCCGACCTATCAGGCAAGTATCCCAGGACGAAGTAGCCTTTTGTCAAACGATGCGCCCTAAACAATGCCCTTCGCACTAGCGAGTCTGCCTCAAAAAATTTGCACAACCATTCCCTCAACGAAGATGGAGAGTGAGATTGTTATAATTGTT